CGTAAGCCCACAGGCAGCAGTGACCGTAGTGTGATGCTCTGTGCTACTCCCAGGAGCAAGGGGTAGACCAAAGAGCTTTCCTGTGGCAGCAGATCCTCTAGTGACCTTAGAATCCAAACTCTAATTCTTCCACTCAGGCTTCTCAATGGGTCAGAGCCACCGGGACCTTCCAGTTGTTGAAAGTATCCTTCCTGTTTCCAGTATTCTCAATAACTAATCAAGCCTAATCATCTGGTTATGGGGAAAACAGTACATGTCACTGTTACATATACATTACTCTTTATTCTGGTGCCTGCTCTCATAAGGTGTTTTCTGGAGAAACCAGCTCCACAGACAGATTCATTCCAAAACTGCGTCACAAAACATTTCAGTAATTTCTGGTAGCCAGCTGTGGACAGCCTGCACACCCTATCAGGTCCTTCTGCTTCCTTATGCACGGCCCCCTCCAATTCCCCTGCTCCGTGGGGTATAGATGAGCAGAGGAGGAGGAATCGGCATGATCTGTGTCAGCCATTGATGTGTCTCCAGGAATTATGTCATGGATTTGACATAATGGTAATGAATGAGTTTGAGTCCAGTTCAAATAATCTGGAATCTTTTCATCTGACTTTCTTTGTACTTTGCTTTGTAATAAACTATAACTGACACTACAACTGCAACTGTACTGTGGCACTATTTTCCTTGTATCAGTTGTAAAGGATACTATTATAAAGCATTTAATCTGTATTGGATTGGATACAATTGTAAAAGATGTTATTTTACTGTAAAGTAGCGAAACTAGCTTTTATAAGGAGAGTACCAAATGTTTATTAAATTAATTAACAAAATTTTGTTTCACAGCCTTCTTTCGGTAAAGTGTTAAAGTACCCTACTAAAGTGTAAATCTGAACCTAGATTTTTTTCAATAAAAGATAGGATATTGAGCCCATGTGAGAGATGAATGCTTTCCCCTTTTTACTGTTGTATAAAATAATCAGGTTTTAAAATGTAGAATATGTGGCAAAAACTAAAGATCTACATGTCTGATAGCTGTGGTTAGAAAAGATGAATTTTCCTGAAGAATTTATAAAACTGATTTATGAACAATGTATCTGTACAAAATGTGAGCTTTGTAATGCTACAGGGTCAGAAAGGCCCAGAGTAATCATGTAAATTGCAGTATATTGCAAGGAGTGTTCTTGGTTGGCCCAGTTCCTTCTCTTTCTGTTTACTCCCTTTACCCTCATGTAAACATTCTCATCTCTCCAAGAAAGAATGGGTAATTCTTTCTTGGGGATCATCTAAGATAATGAGCCTTTTTATTAGGCACTTCTAACATTCATCTTATTTGCTTGTAATGTAAAATAAATGCATCAAATCTCTTTCAAATTTATCTTTAAAGATCAGCATTTTCTTCTCTTTTTTAGTGTTTTAAGATTTAAGAAATTATGTCTTTAAGGAAAGTACTTTCAACATTTTGTGTTTGTCCGTGTCTCAGTAGACTGAAAGAAGTTGATTTATTTTTATTAGAAATGGTTTGCTACTAAAGAGCATATAGTTAGGTCTTATATTTTGTCTGATGTTCAGTTTATTTCAGTAAAGTGAACCTGGATATAAGTTGGGATAAACGATTTATTTTAAAAAAGAAAAAAATCTAAATGTACAATCTTCTTAAAGAAATGGGCTTGTCAATTTTAAGTCCCTTAAGGGTATTTTGTATATGTATATGTCAGGGTATTTTGTATCTTTATGTTTGTAAATATCTTTGTTCTCAACTGCAGAGCATGGTGGGAGGAACATAATTGTTTAGTAAATATTTGTAAAATGAAAAGCCATTCCCTACCCACATTCATTGATATGTGCCACTTCAATTCCACTGAACTATTAAAGAAAAATATGTCATCAGCAAGAATCTTTGTCTAGTAAACTCTTGCAGTCCTTGTATGTCTGAAAACTTTCTCAAATGATAGTTTAACAGGGTGTAGAATTCTAGGTTGACAGTTTTTTCTCTTTCTGCACCTTGAAGACATTATCTCATTATCTTCTCATGGTGGTGGTGGTATTAATCAGAAGTCTGCCTTTAGTTTGATTGTCATTTCTTTGTGGGATATCCTGTCTTTTTTCTGGTATTTTTTAAAGATATTCCCTTTATCTGTGGTATCACAAGGTACAAATTTATTTTAATTTTTTCCAATAGAGATTCTCTTTTTTTAGTTTGAATATTCATGCCTTCTTCAATTCTCTGCCATTATCACTTTGGCAGTATTTCTTCCATTTTCTCTGTTCTTTTCTCCTGGTGTATTAGAAATTTTGGTATGTCTTCTGTCTCTTCGTTTCTTTCTTTCTTTTTCTTCCTTTATTTCTTTTTTTCCCTCCCTCTCTCCCTCCTTTCTCTCTTTCTTTGTTTCTTTTTCTTTCTTTCTTCCTTTCTTTCTTTCTTTCTTTCCTTCTTTCTTGTTCTCTCTCTCTCTCTCTCTCTCTCTCTCGCTCTCTCGCTCGCTCGCTCGCTTCATCTTTACTGCTTTATTCTACCAGTTTATCAACTATCTTTGTAGGGCTGTTTATATGCTGTTTAAATAATATTTTGAGTTTGTTTCTATCTCTATTTTTTCATTTCAAAACTATATCTCATTTTAGAGTTTGTATTTGATTATTTCTCAGATCTGCCTATATAATAACCAGTTCTTTCTAATGAATTCTAACCCTTCCTTTGTCTTTCTGGACATGCTAATGATTTAAAGTCTCTTTCAGATTGCTTTATTATCTGTAATTCCTCAGGTATCCATTCTCACATTTGTTGCATCTGACTAGTTTCATGGTGGTGGATTTTATATGTTCTTTATAATTTTTGCCTGAATTTTCGCACTCCCTACCCCCATTGGTATAACAAGCATGCTCTAGATTATGGAAGTCTTCCTATGGTATATTTTTGTTTTCACCCTTCATTAAGATCTATGATTTTCATTGGTTCTAGGCCAGTTCTTTATGTTACTTTTTAGCTTAGGTTTTTCCACACCACCCAAGTGCTACAAAATAGGATTCCACAAATAACACAGGTAGGGCATTCGTTGTTTTTTTTTGTTTTTTGTTTTTTTTGCCAATGATTCTTTTTATCTAGAGCTGGGGTTGGTAAACTTTTGAGACAGGCTGCCAGGGGTCAGCAGACTGCAGCGCACAAGCCACATGTGTGGCTCTGAAGTAAAATTGAAAATGAAAATAAAACTATCATAATTTCATTTATAAAAATTTTAAAGAATATTATTCACATATTGGTGATTATGTAAAAATATATTTATGGCTCTCAAATAATTTTTAAATTATTGTGAGGGACCGGGATTGGCTCTTCCAGGGGTCGGCAAACTTTTGAGACGGAACTTACCCAAAAAGCCACATGTGGCTCGCAAGCCGCGGTTTTCCGACCCCTGATCTAGAGTCAGAAGGTAGCCTGCTTCTATCCTGTGTCTCTATTGGGTTTCCTAGCTTTAATTTGCAAATTGGATATCCTTTTAATTCCTGCTGTGTTTTTGGTTGGTTGGTTGGTTGGTTGGTTGGTTTTTTTAATTCAGAGAGTTAAGTCATTCTCATCTCCCCTCTGCACATAAGGGGCCCTGCAGAGCATAACTTAAGACCGTGTCCTTGGTGGGGAAAGCGGGACCGGAGGGAGAGAGGGCTGGGGGGAGGGACTGAGCGTCAGCTCCTACTCACCGCTGTGTTGCTTCTTTTTGGCACCTAAAGATTTTCCTTTCTTACTTTTAGCTCAAATATAATTTTGTTGTTCTTGTCAAATTGTATCCAGTATTTCTTTTTGGGGAATGAGATGACGACTTTCCACATATTCAGTGTACCATTTTGTCAGGGAAATTGGAACCATATAGTGTATTTTTTCTTGACCTACTGTTTTTAACAATTTATGTTAAGCAAGCAACCCATAGTCTGTAAAATAAATAAGATTCTATCTACTTATACTAGCATCTTAAAATCACTAAATATTCTTATAACCCAGTAGAGAAGAATAGTAGGATTTGTGAAAATGGTTTCTTATTTAATTATCACATAAAGATTGTTGTTTTTTAAGTTTGACTACTTATGTAAAATTAAATAGTGAAAGTTTGATTAATAATTTTGAGAGAAATTACTGAATTAAAATTTTTTAAATATCCCGTTTTCATGCCATTATTTATATAATCATTAATTTTTATCCTTATTTAGGATAGTGGATATTAGCCTGTGTCAGTATGTCCACAGTCTTGACAATAGAAATATCATATTATTGTGATTGCTTTAAGAGAGATGTATCTTTAACATATATTTTAAACCATAGATATAATGGAAACATCATAATATTGCCATTACTTTTATAACTTTAAGAAAAGACCTAAAATATATTCTTTTTAAATATCTAGGTTAACATCTTCTGACAATGATATCAGTTGAAGAATATGATGCTTGATTATGAAGAGTATGGGGGGAGCACAGGGGGATTGGTTAGAGTGCGAGCTCTGAGCAACGGGGTTGCCTGTTTGATTCCCACATGGGCCAGTGAGCTGTGCCCTCTGCAACTATTATAGATTGAGGACAACTTGAGCTGAGCTGCCGCTGAGCTGCCAGTGAGCAGTTGCTGGGCAGCCAGATGGCTCGGTTAGAACACGTGCTCTTAATAAGGTTGCTGGTTCAACTCCTGCATGGGATGGTGGGCTGCGCCCCATGCAGCTAGATTGAAAAAACAGTGACTGGACGTGGAGCTGAGCTGCACTCTTCATAACTAAGATTGAAGGACAACTTGACTTGGAGTTGGTGGGTCCTGGGAAAAACACACTGTTCCCCAATAAAGTAAAAAAAAAAAAAAATAACTAAGATTGAAGGACAACTTGACTTGGAGCTGGTGGGTCCTGGGAAAAACACACTGTTCCCCAATAAAGTAAAAAAAAAAAAATAGTATTGGGGAAAAGAAGTAATACAGTCTCATTTGACCAAAAATATCTATCTTTTGAGACCTAGGTTTGCTTTCTTCCTGTTTTCAGACATGTAAAGAAAAAATGAAGGCAGATACATTGACACATTCAAAGAAAGAACAACAAGCAAGTGAAGGAGGCATTTCATCTCCCCTTTACATTTCACACCCTGTGAGCCAGAAGAAGAAAAAAGTCTACCGTACAGACCAGACCACCTTTATAATTGGAGAAACACCAAAAGGGATCCGCAGGTATGTCATCTATAACATTAGACTTGAAGAATAATTCTCAAAAGAAATATAGCTACTTAGTAAAATACACCCATTATTTGAATTTTAATCACAGCAGCTGTCTGAAAGTACAAAATTCAGAAAAATCTGAATTTGTACAGTTTAAAAAATAAATTCCAAATATTTTAGATGTTTTTAGAAAGCTAATCCCTGAATTGATAAATGAAATCACTTGATATAGGTAAATGATATGCTTAAGTGCATTATATTCACTTGCTCATTGGATATTTATTGAACACTTAATATGTACCCAGGCATTGTACTGGGTGCTGAGTATACAGTGTAAAAAAAAAGGCATAGTGCTAACAGCACAGTGTAACGGGGGCTGGCATTGAACCACTGTTTTCAAAAGTAAAAATAACTTACAAATAACTGATTATAAAAGCATGAATTATAAGAAAGAAGGGGACAGGCCTCCTTGATAGAGAATAATGGGATCGGGACGGTGCATGTGCCTTTCTATTGGGTAGTCAGGGAAGATCTCGCTACACAGGTGACATTTACATTGTGACTTGAAGGATAACTGAGAAAAGAGCCAGAGGAAGAACGTCCCTGAGGCGGGAAGAGGGTTGGTGTGTTTGAGGAACTGAGACCGAGAATGATGAACCAAGCAGAGATGAACCGAGCATGAGGTGGAGGTTAGAGATGCAGATGGGGCTGGAACATAGAGCCTTCTAGATGGTGCGAAAGAGTTTGGATTTTGTTTCAAGTGCAGTGGAAAGCTGGTAAAGCATGACATGATCTGATGTACATTTCTAGAAGATTGTTCCAGCTTTTGTGTGGAGGAGGGCAGAGAAGACTCATGAGAACTAGGTGATTATGGTTTGCAGTACAGTGGTTGCCATGGAGACAGAGCCAGATGGATTTGTTTGGTGTTGGACTGGTTGTTGGGAAAGAGGGACGACAGGGTTACTCCCAACTTTCTGTCTTGAGCAACAGATTGGATTTACTGAATGGGAAAAACTAGGAGAGAAACAGTCTGGAGTTTAAAAAACAAATCAAGAGTTCTCTTTTGCTCATGTTGAATTTGAGGTTCTATGGAAATGTCAAATAGGCAGTGGCTCAACTCTGGGATTTGGGAACTGAAGATATAAATTTGGAAGCCATAAGCATAGAGAATATAAATGGTTTTTAGAGCCATGGGACTGTGTGAACTTCCTAGGAACAGGGCACAGAGAGGAGAGGAGAAACCCCAGGACTGAGCCTGGAGGCGACAGTGGCCTGTTGCATAGGAGGCACAGTGTAAGGTCCCAAAGTCCAAGAGAAGTAAGAGTTTCAAAAAAGAGGGTGCTCCTAACTTTATAAACATTGCTAACAGCCAGACTCAGATGAAGTGGGAAAGTGCCCCGTGTAGTTGGCAGCAGAGAACTCATCGGCTGCCTTGACATGAGCAGTTTGAGTAGGCAGACACCGGGGGTGAGGTACACAAACAGTGAATGGGCAGACCCTGTGCCAGCTCTTCAAGTTTGGATGTGAAAAGTAGCAGTAGCTGGGAGACCTGAAAGCTGAGAGCTTCTTTGTGCCCCGGGGGACTGCGCCGGTGTCTCGGCGGTTGTAACCATGCCACAAAACGAATATATTGAGTTACACCATAAGCGCTATGGATATCGTTTGGATTACTATGAGAAAAAGAGAAAGAAGAAAGGTTGAGAGGCTCATGAACGTTCAAAGAATACAAAAAAGATGATTCGCCTTAAAGCTAAGCTCTACGATAAAGAGTGCCATGCTGAGAAAATACAGAAAGCCTATATGAAAAAGACTATCAAGATGCATGGAAAGAGAAATACCAAACAAAAGAATGATGAAAAGACTCCACAAGGAGCAGTACCTGCATATCTACTGGACAGAGAGGCACAGGCCCGAGCTAAAGTACTTTCCAATATGATTAAACAAAAACGAAAAGAGAAAGTTGGAATATGGGAAGTCCTTCTGTCCAAAGTTCGTGCTCAGGGAGAAACAGAGATATTAAGTTATTGAAACAGAGAAGAGAAAGAAGAAAGCGTGGAAGAGGATGGTTACTAAAGTTTGCTTTGTTGGAGATGGCTTTACTCAAAAACCACCTAAATATGAAAGATTCATTAGGCCAATGGGCTTCTGTTTCAAAGGCGCATGTAACACATCCTGAACTGAAAGCCCCCTTCTGCCTGCCAGTGCTGGGTGGAAAGAAGAATCCCTCATCCCCATGGTATACAACTTAGGGTGTTAACTACCAAAGGTATGCTCATTGAGGTGAACGTGAGTGAGTTGGGCCTTGTGACACAAGGAGGCAAGGTTATTTTGGGAAAATATGCCCAGGTTACCAACAATCCTGAAAATGATGGATGCATAAATGCAGTCTTACTGGTTTGACAGCAGTCTCATACAAGTTAATTCCTTATAATTATTGAAGACTCCACACCAATCAGGAAGACCACCTTTACTGTGACGTTTCTAAGTGCTACCAAAGAGCTTACATGTCTGTGGCCATCAAGAGAACTTTTATTCTATTGTAAAGAACATTAAAATGGCCCAGTTTTACACACACACACACACACACACACACACACACAAGTAGCAGTAGCTGGAGGGCATTGTGGGATCAAGGGTAGGTTTGTTTTAAGTTGGTAGGATGACAGAACCTGTTTGTATGTTTAGAGAACAGAATAATAGGGAAAATGAGATCATGCCAGAAAGATGATAGCAGCACGAAGTCTTGGAAGTAGTAGAGGGTGGGATCCAGACCACTGGCTAGTTCTAGCCTTCGAGAGGCACTGAAAGAGAAGAGATGATAGGCCCAGCTATAGTGATACTTCCTCAATTAATTGAAAATTAAAGTCATCAGTTCAGAGGAGAGAGATTTCAGGAGAGAAAAACTGTGAAATAAATCATAAGGTAGGAAAGCAAGCTTAGCGGAACTAGAATTCCTGAGTGATGTTAAGTCCCTGTTTGAGAGTGATGCCAGTAAAACCACCTATGCAGTCGTGCAGACTTCATTCAGCAAGCTTCAGTTGCTCAGTTGCAAACACAGAACAGGGAGATGGCTAGGTTTTCCTAGGGGATAGAATAGAGGGAGAGAGAAGCAAGGAAGCTGAAGGATGTTTGCAAAGGAGTGATTATAAAATTGAACCTAAGCTGGACAAGGGGATAGTGAGAAAGCAGAGAGTCAGTGAATGGGAGGACTTGATTCCAGCATTGTTGTCATGGGGTTACTGAGCAGCTGAGCTGGAGCATGAGATGATGGAATTCAGGGGCTTGGGGGTGGTGCAGCTAGTGGTAATGACAAGGCACTATATGAGCTTGGGAACCGGGTCCTGACATGGCATTGATTCTTTGGAGGTGAGGTAAGAAATCGGTGGGCCAGGACTTGGGTGACACGTCCACATGGATATTAATAATTATCAAAAGTGATGGCAGGGGATGGACAGGAAGCACCTTTAATCCATGATCTTGAGTGTTCAGTCCCTAGCAGGAAGCAACTAAGGGGTCAGTTAACAAAATGGGGGATTGAATGGTGTAGCTGGGTAGCATAAACAAATAGAAGAAAAGGAGTTTTTGAGAAAAGAATGGTCTGGGAGCAGCAATGTGAAGCATGAACCCTGCAGCTGAAGGGTGTGAAGTATGAGCCTTGATTTGCAAGGGCTACATAGGAGGAGGCAGTATCATGAGGCAACAGAGGGACCATTCGGCATAGAAGACACAGGGGAATTGGTAGATCATAGTCTGGTTCAAGGGGCACTGAGGAATGGTCGGGGGATTGGATTAGATCAAGGATGTAGAGTAAAAGGAGATGGGAGGCCAGTGGTTATGGTAACCAAGGAGTAGACTGACGTAAACAGGGATGGGAGGCATGGTCGAAATGGTCCTCATCGCCTCTGGGGACAGTCGTGGTGGCTGTCTGGGTTCCAGATGCTTCCCTCATGGGGTTGGCAACTCCTAGGCAACTAGTCCAGGAAGGTTGGTCCCTTGAACCCTTGGGTGCTGGTGTGGCAGGTTGGGGCATGGCGCTCCACTGCCCACTTTTGCCCAAAAAGGTGAATACCCCACATACAGCAGTGCACCTCCTCACAAATTTACGATTTTGGCCAGGTGTGCCTTTTCACTTTGGGCGATGATTTTGCTAGGAGGCTGACCATCTATGTATTACCAGTCTTTGAGGAGCATATGTCATCATCTCCTTTAACATTGTACAAACAAATGAAAGTAAAGTATTAACAATGGTTAGTTTTTGCTTTCCTCCCTTTTTTCTCTACCCAGTTGAGAGAATAAATGCCTCATGCTGAGTAAAAAGGCAGACGGTGTCTAATATTAGAATGCTAACATCTGAAGTAGAGAACAGTGTCCGAACAGTTCCAGTTCTTCCCTGCTAACCATCCTACGTTATGAGAATCAAGCCTGTTCTGTACTGCAGCCCCACAGATCATCTGAATAAAGTGTTCAGTCCTACCTTCCCTTCAGAAAGCTTAGGCAGAGAGAAAATGATCATTTTAGCTGTGTTCCACCCCTGTTCCCCAACTTCTCAAGAAAAGGGGAGAGAAATTTGAATGTCATCCATGATACATAACTACTCTGGATATACTTACTGAAAGGTTCCTGTTTTTAGTTTCCTTTTTTTTTTTTTTCCCTCTAAGTGACTTATGAGTGCCTACTCTAGTTTACTAAGTTTTCCTCACAAAGTGGCTAGCTTATACCCTCTGGTTGTACCTTGCAGTTCCTTCAATTTTTACAGAAAATTCTTTCAAAGACCAAGAATTACGAAAGCAAGTTAGAAGGCAAAATAAAATGAATTACAATTATAACAGGATGTGTGAAGGGTGGCCATGCGGCATAATTGACTTGCATAAAATGGGGTTGGAAGCAGCTCTCCTCCTAGAAGTAACAGAATCACAGGGTCAAGGGCGAGGTCAGTGCAGCAAAGGTGAGAGTCCTGTGGCCGCTGCTGAGACACCACCAAGCCTTGGATAAATAAAAGACATCAGCCCATAACCTTGCCAATAAGTTAATCCTCACAGCGCAAATATTTATTAGAAAGACCATGAAAATGGATTTGGAAATGATTAATAAACAAAATAATAGTACCTCATTGCTTCATGTGAAGTGAAAACTGGAACCTTTTCAGAACATGCTTGTTGCTTTCCAACAAGAACATTGGCAATTTCCAGGACAGAAATTTGGAAGCTTGTATTTGTGTTATTAAATATTCTGTTGGCAATGAAAGCGGCTGTTAATCAGGCAGAGATAGTGCCTGGAGCAGTTCCCAGGACCTGTGTGGTGAGGACTGGGTGTCATGGTCTTCACCTGAGGCCACAACAGGAAGTCATGAGCACGCGGTATGGATTGCCATGGAAATCAAAGGAAATACAAACTTTATAGAACCTGGGCTGGGTGGCAAAAATAATAGTGACCTTAAAGCTTCTACTTAAATACATTTAAAATATATACATTATTTTACCCTCAGGATTCTCTATGGTGTGCAGGATAAAATTCAGACTTCTGCAATTGGTATAGCGACCCTTGTGATTGTCAGCCTCTTCCTCAGCAGTTTCTCCTGTCCCTCTCTGCACCAGGTCCTCCCAGAACTGGGCCTGTGCACATACCCTCTCTTCCAGGAAGGCTTCCTCACTCATCTTGCCTGTCTGGCTCAAGGTGACAGCAAAGAAGCCTTCCCTGCTTCCCTGCCCACTGCCACTCACTGGCCCCTTCTGTGGGCGCCAACAGAGCCCTGCATTAACCTCCATGGTGGCATTTGCCACTCTCTTCTGGTTTGATTTTCATGCATCCATCTCCCCCAGCTAGACTATAAAGTCCTTGAAGATAAAGACTTTATCTTCACTGTTGAATAGTTCCTACTACAGTGCCTAGCACATAAGAGGGCTCTGTAAATATTTGTTGAATGAATAAATGAATGTTTTAAGGAAATATATCAAATATACATATAATCCTAAAACTTTTGGGACTTTGAATCATGTGCTGCAACACCATCTATGGCTTTTGCTTAAAAAAATGTTTACAGACATTGGGCTCTCCTGACACATGACCCAAACTCAGCATCAACAAAGCAGTACCCTCTGTCATAATCCACTCTGGGTTCCATAACAAAATACCAGAGACTGGAGTTTAAATGATAGAAATTTCTTTCTCACAGTTCTGGAGCCTGGGAAGTCCAAGATCAAGGTGCCAGTTGATTTGGTTCCTAGTGAGGACTCTCTTCTTGGTTTGCAGACAGCCACCTTCTCACTGTGTCCTCTCATGGCTGAGAGAGAGCTCTCCAGTGACTTTTTATGACCTCTTAGTGCCTTTATACCTCCTAAAGGCTCTGTGTCCAAATATAGTCACACTGGGGATCAGGGCTTCAACATATGACTTTTGGGGGGACACAGTTCTGTCCACAGCACCCTCACCTGGGATAAAGAGCAGAGTCTAGAGCACAGGGTCCCTGAACAATCTTTCTGCCTCCATCGTACCAGGGTTCCAGAAAGCCCACTTCCTCACACATACATATAACAGCTTTCATTAATATCTTATACTGAGAATGAAACTTGCTTCTTCAAATAGCATCTCACTTGTTAATTTAGCTCTCTATACTGAAGTCAGACCATTTGAGGGAAGAAAGAATCTAGTTTTATCAGTTTAGAACTTTAGGCTCATCAAAAAAATGCATGAAATTTCTTGTTGAATTTTTGTGAAAGAAGGGGAAAAAGAACAGAAGTAAAAAATTCCTTTCTTATTTCCTCAGAATTTTCTCTTTTCTATTTATTAAGGCCCTTCTTTGACAATTTTATTTCATGGAACTTGAATGCAATATAGATTTTCAAATACAGATTATATAAATTATGGTTCTCAGGTCAGTCATAAATTAGCTAACTGGAGGAGTAGCATACTGGGATCCCATAATTCCCAGGAAATACCTAATAGTATAAATCAGAATAATTTAAAAAGCTGGTGATTTCATAAGCTAAAATATTTTTTTTCAGTAGTGTAAAGAAAGAGGTCACATTCTACTAGTATAAAATGCATTTTTATTATTGAATTAAGCTAATACATGCTAAATGAATAAGATTGCTTTGTTTCTACATTTTATGTCACTGATGACAAGTTCTTTAAAAATAAAATGTAATAAAAATAACCACTGGTTTTGTTCATTAAAATTTCAGAAAACAATTTGAAGAAATGGCTTCGTATTTTAATTTGTCTCCTATAAAGGAATTTGCTAACCATATAACTCATGCCACATCAGAAGAACGACAGAAAATGCTAAGAGACTTTTATGCTTCTCAGTATCCAGAGGTAGAAGAATTTTTTGTGGATTCTGCTGTAGAAATCATTAAACCCGCCTGTGAGGAAGGAAAGAGAGTCAGGAGTAAGTCTGAAAAGAGAGAACCTCTTATAAGAGAAAGGCTTCCAGATTCTGAAACTTTGTCATTTAAAGATTCAACCAAAAAAACTCAAATTTGCAACCCAAAAACATGTGAAGAAAAATCAATTAAGCCTCAGAATCATGGTTTCTGTAAAGAGGTGCTTTCTAATGATGCAGAAACTAAGAAATTACCTCTAAGCTCTACCCAAGAGACTGACAATGGGAAAAACAGCCAAGTATCCAAAGATACTATAGCATCCAGTTTCCTGAACAGTAAGTCTGGAGCATATGAGACAAAGTTAGAAAATACCATGAAAGAACAGCAGGACCTCACAAAAATGGGCATTTCAAGAAATGGGCCCCTTTTCAAAGTGGAAAACAAAAAGATAGAAAATCCAGTGTTAGAAAACTCTTCTGTGGTAGGTTTACTCGGTGACACCTCTATTCTTGATGACCTCTTTAAAAGTCACGGGAACAGTCCCACACGACTGCCAAAGAAAGTTCTTTCAAGGCCCATGGAAAAAGCAAAACAGAGACCAAAAGATTTCTGGGACATCTTGAATGAGCAGAATGACGACAGTCTCAGTAAACTCACCGACTTGGCAGTGATAGAGACTCTCTGTGAAAAAGTGCCCCTCGCTGCCGCCTCCAAAAGGAAAGAGGAGTTAGAAGCTTCTCTTTGGAAATCAAATGAGAACTTTTTGTGGAAAAAGTTTAACTCAAGTGATTCAGAGGAAAACACAAGTAATACGCAAGAATAAACATACAAATGAAGTACTTCACATCTGCTGTCAATCTTTACAATCCTGTGTTCCACACTAATTATGGTAACTTGAACACACTTGTCAACATCTATTTTTAAACTCTGGCTCATTTTTTCAAGTCTAAAATGTTTTTTTCAAGTCTAAAATGTTATCATGTGTTTGTTTTCCTTGTTATTTTATCTGATTTTTTTGAAAATGTGATTTTATTATAGTATAAATCTCTGTTATGGAATGGAAAAGATTCTGTATTTATCAGGGGACCTGGGGCATCTTGCTGTGTAATTATGTGGCCTGTGTAAGTCACTTACCCTGGAGTACAGCTGTTTGCTAATAGGCAAGATGAAGGGCTTGAACTTGATCAACATAAGCATCTTTGTAATTTAAAAAACTTTGGTTCACTCTCCCGAATTCTGTTACCATATTTCCCCATGTATAAGATGTACCTTAACTTTGGGGCCCGAAATTTGAAAAAAAATGTATTATATAAAGTTATTGAACTCAAGTTTTAGTCATCATAAAATTCATACAACTCCTCATCACTGTCAAAACTCCCAACCATTAGCTTGTCCTCATCTGTGTCTGATGACGAATCACTGTCTTCATATATTGCCTTGTCCTCAGTTCCATCTACAAAAATCTTTTCTGAGCCATTTCTGGGCAGAACATGACAAAACATAACCTACCGTAATATACAAGTAACAAGTGTGAAACAATGAGCACAAAGACAACAAGTGCAAAAAAACAGGAAATGCAAGTTAAAAAAGTCTACAACCACTGTATAAGACACACCCAGTTTTTAGACCCCCAAAATTTAAGAAAAAGGGTACGTCTTATACATGGGGCAATACGGTAGATCGTAGACCAAATTATGTTCACCCTCCAATTCATGTGTACATTGATGTGTTTCTTTCTTACTAACACTTGGGAAATTATTAAGTTAACTGTTTTCCTTTTCCCTCAGTCAGGTACTACTATTATTTATTAAATTACTATTATTAAATTATGACAGTAATTACTAGAACTGAATATATGGTATTGTGTTAAGATAGTTTTATAAGTGCTCAAAATCAAAGGGTTAATATTATATAACTTTATCATATGACATGTGATGAAATAATATCATTACTACCTTTGCCACAGAGCACCAGTCTCAACTTTTTATATAATTATTATGATTTAATCAATACAAATAAAGCTTTGTATAGTAATTTTCTATCTCCCTTGCTTTTTAATTTTATTGGAGAATAGCCATGGTCATTGGTTACACATTGCTTTCATGCTACAATGGCATAATCGACTGTTTTAGGGAAAGCACAGCTCAGTGGCCCATGTGAGGATCAAACCAACAACCTTGGTGTTATCAACACCACACTCTAACAACCTGAGCTAACCAGTCACCCCCCTCTATCTCTTAAGTATAAAGAAATGAGTAAAGATTTTATTTTATTTGAAACTTATAGTTTGTTGAATTTAATTTATATGGTTGATAACCAATGGAATGTGCTCATTGTCAAATTCATTAATTTGGAAACATTCACTCAGCCTGTGTGTGTACTGTGATAGGAGTTTGAGGTGTGCAGGTGCGGCACTGCTACAGGTAAAAGAAAGGAAACCCTATCTGTAAAGACTCATGTCTGTGAAGCCCCTGGCATCATGCCTGGCACGTGGTAGCAGGGGCTTGTGGCTTCTCCTGACCCACATTCAAATGCAGTGTGGAAACTTTCCCTCAGTTGAGTTCACAGGGTTATGATAGGAGGAAGTGTCCAGAAAATATGAATCAGGAAATGGTGCTCAGAGATCATTGGTATTGTGTTAAGGGGAGAGGGCATTCAGAGGACCCAGGATGAGGAGCCATTGCCCAGAAATAAAAAATAAAGACAGAAATTTTTTCTCAAGGGACTAAATGGCCAAGTATGAGGGCTGTGAAATATATTGAGTTGTTGGAAAAGTCATGATGCATTTTTGCAATGAAAAACAGAAAAAATACGTCATGACTTTTCTGACAACCCAATATTTTATATCATGACCCAATATATATTTGTTAATACATATATATGATTGAAATGTTTATTTACCCTTAAGGCATGCTAGAGTCTTTGATATTTTGTATTGCACTTTTGGCTCTTGTGCATGTACATTTTTTAATGCTCTCACAACTCACTAAATTGATTTCATGACCCACTAATGATTGGGAACCACAGTTTGAAAATCACTGTTTTTTTATTGGTTGGTTTTTTTTGTTTTTGCTACTTGCAGCTGAGTTGTGTTCAGACTTATCAGATGCTACATTTCACCACTGAGGTGCTTGCTACAAAATGAACATGTTGTGCAGCCTGGTGAAGTTGACCCATAACTATTGTCAGCCTGCTGTGCCATCAGCTGTTCAAGGAATTCGCATAAGCAAGTAGATATCACTTCATCTCAGTTCATATACCAGACAGTAGAGTTCAGACATTTCAATAAAAGTGTATCTCTCATAAAATAAAATACCTTTTAAAGTTTTTACATAGACATGACCTTCAGTCATAAAATGTTCATACAAATATTAATTCTATACTCTTCAAATATAATGAAGTGCTATTACAGAGATTTTTATCAGTAATAGTCAAAATGGGAGCAAAAATACAGAGCTGAAGTTTGAAAATTGCTTTCCAACAGTTGTCCGTGAAATGTTTGTCACTATTATCATGCAGGAAGATTGTGCCAAGCAGAGGACAGGGCCCAGTGTGGAAAGGAGCCAGTCAGAAGGTGTCAGAAGGGAGACTGAGGGTTGACTTTCCCTGCATTGGAGCACTGGCAAGATTTGGTTCAACCATTGATGAATCTGGGAACAGACCCTATGAAGGGCGGACAGTAAGAATCCGTCCTACCCAACCCTGCTGTCGGTGTGCCACCAAGTTCTGCCAGCTAAGTAGGTGGCCCCAGGCAAATCCCCGGGCTTCTTTCAGCCTCAGTTTCCCCTTTACATTTGAGATGGACTGTATCAGTGGTGTTCAAGTATTTTTTTAAGCAATTCAACTCTAAATTTAAACAAGTTCAGTTAAAGCAATTAAAATGGAGGTTTGTTGGTTCAAGCAGCAGCGCTGTGGTTCTGTGGGGCACTAGTTTGAAAACCACAGGGATGAGATAATTGCTAAAAAACCTTCCAAATTCAAGTTTTGTGAGGCAAGTTGCCACAATCTGTCTTTTTACTTCCCTTTAAAGCAACGATACAGTTTCCGGCTGCTAGCACTCAACACACAGTTATTGATGTTGGAAACTGAGGCAAGATATTGAGAGACTTTTACACTTGACTTTCTTAGGATTCCCTTAAAACCCTGACACCATTTCTTTGAGTAAATTAACAACATCTGCAAGTGGTCTGGCCCCTAAGGGTTCAAGGCTTTGTTTGCAGAGATGAGTTGGTTACACTGTTTATCAGTCCACAGAAAATGAGAAAGCCAAGGGCAGTGGAGGGTTTTCAGCTTTCGATGTGTGCGGTTTTTAAATTCTGAAGTTATCCTTCCTTTTTGATATTCAAATAGCCCTCTTTTAATGAAATGATGATAGATCGTTTTTTAGTCTTTTTCACTGTCCTTACTTGATACAAAAGTTGATAACCATATGTCAGTTCCCAAAAGGTTTTTTGACATTTACTAGTCTATAAAACCCAAAATAATGGGATCACTGCCTTACTCAAATGTCTTTTTTTACATACAAAGGAGGAAATAGAGCTCCATGGTCGCTTTGTCAGACATCAGTTAACCTTGGGTCTAGGACCCACCCACGGAGGAAGTCAGTGAGCCTGGAAGGTCCTGCAAGATGCCTTGCTTTTCCAGAGCCCATTGTGCAGAGTGCCTGCTTTAGGCGCCTCCCCTAATTCTCCTGTAATCATCGCTGATGTCGTCTAGTTGCCCAGTTCCAGCCCACCTGCTTTGGCAAAGCACTCTCCACCCAGTGCTTCTGGAAGGCTTTATAAAGGGAAGGCTCCTAACCTCAGGAACACCAAATGGCCCTGGTGACCCTGTATTTGCTTTGAGTGACAGCCCCATGCACTGTCCCGCCCCACCCCCACCCCCGCTCGTTTTGTTGTGTTCTGTGTGGTGTGTGTGGCAGGTGAGCAGAACAGTGCACTTTTTCTCTGGTAAAGGGCAACCATGGGTGCAGAGTTTTAAGTATCCCTTGGGCATTTACTCTCTGCCCCTCAGGGGAAGATTGAGAATGACCTGCCCTTTTGAAGTCAGAGGCTGTGTGGTTCCTAGCCCGGAAGTGGCAAGTCAGAACTCCTGCAGAGGTTTCTCAACACACAGGTGCCCAGGTCCACCTTCAGGAGGTTCTAGTTTAGAAGGCCTAAGGTTCAGCACGGGCACCCGTTTTTATTTTTTAAGCTTCACAGTAATTCTGATGTGCTAATAATGTTTTGTCTGAGACTTTATCATGTGTAGGACTGGCCTGCGTGACCTTCACTCTGCTTCAGTGAGCAACCCCCTAGCTCCAACCCCCACCTGTGTGAAAATATGGGACATGCAACTAAGCTCATGCTGGAGCCACTCGGATTTTTGAGGTTCCAAGGTTATGTTCCCATAAAAATGTCCACACATGGCATTGTTTCTCTGATTATACTTTATCAGTATGTATAGTATTTGCTTTGCTGCAGGTTAACAAATTGTGGGGGTTATGTTTACCCCTAAATGTCCAAATTTAAGGCCAGTCTTAATTACATAAGCATGATGCTTTTCTGTCACTGACGTGTATAATGCCTGATTGACATCTTTCTACAGATGTCTTTTTGGCTACCTAAATGGGCCCCTCCATCTCACTGAAAGAAATAACTGAAACTAAATCTGTATTACCGCAGCTTATCTAAACAAGGGGAAAGTGCGCATCTCTGAATTTCTTATACGTCTCTAAGGGAACTCTAGTGAGTCACCTATCACCTAAAATATGAATTAGTGCCCCCCAAATATCTTTTAATTTTGGATTTTCTTTATTTTTCTGAAGTGAGACATGCTTCTGGACTGAAAGACTTCAAAAGAATCCTCATAATAGCTAATTCCTATGTACTTTTTCTCTCATAAAACTATAATAAAAGTAATGATAAGAACAAAAAAATTCTTAATTTATCAAAACATAAATGCCAGTGTGAGCTCCTTAAGAACCTCTGCTCTCACCTGATTCCACCTACCCTGCCCACTTGCCAACTTCCAATAGTGGATTCTGTCTTCCTCCCCAGCCAATAATGTGGCAGTGGGCCCTAGACAAAGGCCTTCCCAGACCATGTGGTCACTAAGGATTTCACACGGGCTTCAGACAAAGACATTCCTGGATGGTATGGTTATCAAGACTTCTGCGTTTAATATTTCCAAATTCCCACCTCACCCAGGAGCCAGTCAGGAACTGGCACAATGACGACATGTTCTAATAATAAATCTTAGCTGCCAACCTGGAAACTTCAGGGTATATAGCCCCAAGTCCCACCCGGATCGGGGCTCAGCCTCTGGATGTGAAT